GGGGAGGTTGGGTGAGAGATGGATTGAGGGGGGTTGGGTGAGGGATGGATCGAGGGGGGTCTGGGGAGGGATGGATTGAGGGAGGTCTGAGGAGGGACAGATCAAGGGGGGGTTGGGTGAGGGATGAATCGAGGGGGGTCTGGGGAGGGACGGATCGGGGAGGTTTGGGGAGGGATGGATTGAGGGGGGAGGGATGGATAGACAGATGGACGGACGGATGGATAGCAGGTTCCATTAGCTCTCAGCTATCTCTACCCTCTCGGAGTGCTCACCAAATGGCTGCCAGCTCTCATCTCAGGTGCCCTCACAGTGCAAAGCTCAGCTCAGCCCCGGCACCTAACCACAGCTGGAGGATGTCGTGGCTGCCTGAGTCCCGTGACCTCCCGCCTGGTTCCCCTTGGTCCTACTCGCGAGCTGGCTTACCCCGGGGTGGGCTCCAGCCTGCCTTCCTCCCCCAGCACAGGCTCATCTCCAGGCGTGGGGGGTAGTTCCTCCATCTCCTGCCCCTGCGCCGCGCTGCCCGGCTTCCCCTCCGCTGTGTCGAGCGACTCAGCCGGGGACTCGGCCACAGTGACTTCCCCTCGCGGGCAGGAAGTGCTCCGGGACGCCTTTGCCACCAGGCAGGGGGGCGCCAGGCTGTCATGGTCAGGAGCTGGCAGCTCCAAATCCGCCTCCTCGTGCTGAGCTGGTTCCGCGGTGTGCTGCGGGGAGGCCTGGGGGCTCCAGCTGTCTCCGCCCGGAGAGGGACTCGGAGGCCAGAGCTCGCAGGGGCTGGGGTGGTCCCAGTCTTCGGTGTGCAGCAGGGTCGATACCATGGAGGTGCTGGAAGCCGAAAACAGCAAGCCCTCCCCCTGGTCCAGAGCACCACTGAGACCTGTGGGGACAGTCCAGTTACCAATGGCCCCAGCACAGCCCCCCTCCCCCACTGCTGTGGCCCCAGCCAGCCTCCTGCTGGCGTGGCAGGACAGATGGGGTGGGGGCAGGACAGAGTGGGAGTAGGGGGCAGGCAGATGTGATGTCCCTTTCTTGTCCATAGAATATGACAGACGCCCCACTTTAAGCATGGCACACAGGCCTGGCCCAACTGGCTCAGACCCAGGGTTCACCCAGTGCAGTGTCGTCTGGGACAGCTGCAACACCACCTGCTGCAGAGAGGCACAGGAACCAGCAGCAGCAGGTGGGGTACGGTCTGCCCCCCACATTTGGTCTCACAACCAGCCCCCCACCCCCTATAGGCCAGGGAGGAGCGATCGCAGAACAGCCGGTTCGTCCCCGAATGGTCCCAGGACTCACCCGACTCCGCGCTGCACAGGACAACCGGGGCGTGGCAGACGGCTCCATCCGCCAGCTGGTCGGGGGGGCAGCCCAGGGCCTGGAGAAAAAGCAAAGACACATTAGAAAATCCGCAGGAGCCCAAGAACTGCCGGGAACAGAGCGGAGGCCAGGGAGTTGGCTGGTAAGGCCAGGCGGGGCTGCTCTGATCCAGCCTGGCCTCCTGCTCAACGCAGGTGGACAATCCAGCCCAGGACACCCAGATTGTAGAAAGAGATGCCCAATCTCCATTGGAAAAAGCCAAGCGAGGGAAAATCCACCCCATCCCCTGGTCGGCTTAATCCTCCTCCCTGGAAACAACATGCACTGGCCCTTCCGGCCCACACTCCTGGCCCCGACTGTGGCCAGCACCAGCGACTGTTGCAGAAACAGCAAAACTTCCACAATAACCGACTCTGAAATCACCGACCCAGAAGGGAAGTTTCTGTCAGGCCCTGTTAATGAGTGGCTGGCACTTGCAGGAGGGTTTATAACATGACTGAAGGTAACCAAGCCTGATTTGCTGCTGAGCCTCTTTTGTTTCTGATCTCTTGTGGCAGGGAGTTCCACAGGTTAACTAGGCACTGTGTGCGCTTTTCATTCGCTGCCTTTAACACTCATCGATTGTCCCCTGGCAGGGGCATTACACAATAGGGCAGGTCCTGCTGTTCTCCCCATCTCTCTCTCTCACTCTATTTAACAGCTCTCTGCCATCTCCCTACTTTTTCTCCTCTCTAAACCAACGGCCCAGCCCTTGCCCATCTCTGTTTCTGCTTTGGCCTTTTTGGTGACAGGCTGACCTGACCCCAGCTGACCCACAGGGCTGGATGGGAGCTGAGCAGAAATCACGGTATCCTGGTATTTCAACATCGGTTTTGCTCCTGAATTGGGACGGAAGGCAAAAATACTGACAATTTTTTGCAGAATGAAAAGGTCAGAAAAAAGTCAATTCAGAAATGCAGAAACATTTTGGGTCGGTTCAACATTCAACCACATCTGTCTATGGAGCCACAGTGCCTCATGGGAGTTATAGTTCTGGTATCTCTTATTCAATTGTGCTGGATGGGTGGGGCTCCCTGGCTGGACTACATTGCCCAGCATGCACCTGCACTCATATGATTCCCATGCTAAAGCATGTGGTTCAGAGGTGAGACCATGATGCATCATGGGAGATGTAGTTCATCCAGGGAATCTGGCACATAGGGAGAAAAGGGACATACAGTGCCTGGCACAACAGAGGGCCTGGTCTGTGACTGGGGCACCTAAGCACTACCGTAATACCTCTAATAGCGATAGAAAAGTACAGCGCCTAGCACAATGGGGTCCTGGTACATGGTTGGGGTGCCTAGGTGCTATCTCAATACCTCTAATAGCAACAGACAAGTACAGTGCCTAGCACAGAGGGGTGTTAGTCTGTGAGTGGGGCCCCGAAGAGTTATGGTTACACAAACACGACCAGTCCTGGTGGGAGTAGTGAGAACCGGCTCTGAGGAACTCCTCCCCCACTAGCAATCCGGGGTCAGTAACAGCTCGGGGGATGTGTCTGGTTTCGACATCCGCGGGTTTAACCCAGCAGCATCCTGTAGACTGACAGACTCTGGGCAGCGTCATCTCAGCCTCATGCTGGGGTCTGACCTCCAGAGGTGCTCAGTGCCCACTGCTCCCCTTGGCTGAGAACCAGGCCCCCGAACCAAGTGACCCCAAAAGCAGTGCTGGCCCTCGCCCGAGGGACCCTCCGTCCCCAGCCCCACCCCATCGCCCCAGCCTCAGCACCCCAACTCTGGTCGTCACCCCTCCAGTCACTGCAATAGCAGGAAAGCCAACACGTGAGCTACCCCAAAACTTCTCCTCCCAGCCCCGGCAGCCCCCGAAGCCGGGTGCTGCTCCTGGGAAATATTCCAGAAATGTGCGTCCCTCCCCCACCCCCCGCACAGACTCCCCCCTGCCCAGGCAGGATGGCTGACACCTCCCCCCCCCCGTCAAAGCCTGACGCACCAGCCCAGCTGCCTCATCCCCAGCCCAACCCCACCCTGGAGACTGGCCAGGTGCCAAGCCACCGCTGCAAACAATCCACAGGAAGGCTCATGCTGAGCAGTACCCTGTTGGAGCCAGGCTCCAGCCACGCCAGGCCAGTTTTAAAAATAGAGCCCTGGCCCGAGGGCTTGGGGCGGGGCCGGGCTCCCCGGCCCCTAGCATTTCCTGCCCTGCTCCTGGCCCAACGGGCCTAGCGATCAGGGCCCTCGGTGGAGCTGAGGTCAGAATTCAGCCCAGGCAAGCAGCGTGTCAGGGGCTGCCCCACGGTGCTGGTGCTGAGGGGTTGGCCCAAACCCCACTTCTTGGCTCGGTTTCCCCTCGCACTGGTTTGACACACTAAACAGGCCTTAGGGTAGGTGTAAATGGCCCCCTCGGGCTCCTGCCTCTGCAATGGCCTCCCCAGCTGGTGTGGTGCCCTGCCCCCAGGGCCATAGGGGGTGGATTGGGGGCATGGCTGGGGCACCCTGCGCTGTGGCTATTCCCTGCCCCCCAGGGCACATAGGGGGTGGATTGGGGGCATGGCTGGGGCACCCTGCGCTGTGGCTATTCCCTGCCCCCCAGGGCACATAGGGGGCAGATCGGGGGCATGGCCAGGGCACCCTGCGCTGTGGCTATTCCCTGCCCCCCAGGGTGATGAGGGGGTTGGGTGCATGGCCGGGGAGCCCTGCGCTGTGGTTGTTCCCTGCCCCCCAGGGCACATAGGGGGCAGATCAGGGGCATGGCTGGGGCACCCTGCGCTGTGGCTATTCCCTGCCCCCCAGGGCACATAGAGGGCAGATCGGGGGCATGGCCAGGGCACCCTGCGCTGTGGCTATTCCCTGCCCTCCAGGGTCATGAGGGGGTTGGGGGCATGGCCAGGGAGCCCTGCGCTGTGGTTGTTCCCTGCCGCCCAGGGCCCACAGGGGGCAGATCAGGGGCGGGGCTGGGGCACCCTGCGCTGTGTCTGTTCTCTGCCCTCTAGAGCCCATGAGGGGGGGAATGCGGGCATGGCTGGGGCGTGCTGCACTGAGTCTGTTCTTTACCCCTAGGGCTCATTGGATGCTATGAAAAACAGATCATGAGTTGGAGCAGCCCGGAGGTAGCTCTAACTGACCCCAGGGGCTGGGCAGGTCCCTACATGGCCCCAGAACCTACCTGGGGATTACAGTGGACAAGAAGCTGGATATGAGTAGACAGTATGCCCTTGTTGCCAAGAAGGCTAACGGCACATTGGGCTGTATAACTAGGGGCATTGCCAGCAGATCGAGGGAAGTGATTATTCCCCTCTATTCGACACTGGTGAGGCCTCACCTGGAGTATTGTATCCAGTTTTGGTCCCCCCACTACAAGAAGGATGTGGACAAATTGGAGAGAGTCCAGCAGAGGGCAACGAAAATGATCAGGGGGCTGGGGCACATGACTTATGAGGAGAGGCTGAGGGAACTGGGATTGTTTAGTCTGCAGAAGAGAAGAGTGAGGGGGGATTTGATAGCTACTTTCAACTACCTGAAGGGGTTTCCAAAGAGAATGGATCTAGATTGTTCTCAGTGGTACCAGATGACAGAACAAGGAGCAATGGTCTCAAGTTGTAGTGGGGGAGGTTTAGGTTGGATATTAGGAAACACTATTTCACTAGGAGGGTGGTGAAGCACTGGAATGGGTTACCTAGGGAGGTGATGGAATCTCCTTCCTTAGAGGTTTTTAAGGCCCGGCTTGACAAAGCCCTGGCTGGGATGATTTAGCTGGTGTTGGTCCTGCTTTGAGCAGGGGGTTGGACTAGATGATCTCCTGGGGTCCCTTCCAACCCTGATATTCTGTGATTCTATGAAGTTCAAAGGGGGCCAAACACCCCCTTAACCTCCCCACCCCCTTCTACAGAGTAATTGCGAATTCGGTCCCATTGACTCCCATTAGAGCTAGAGAGGAAAAATAGCTCTCAGAGCCACCCCTATAATCCGGAGTCACTCCGCTCAACTCTCTGGCAGTGAAGCTGGATTGACACTGGCCTAGCTGAGTGATCCCTGCGACTGCGTTAGCCTCACTCGCTCCTATGTTTGTATTACCCCCCACCCCCATCCTGCCTATCAGAAGGCTCTGGGTGGCCCATGCAGGGCAGAAAATGGGCACCTGGCACGGCTGCCCTCCCAGCATGTGGCCTTGCAGAGCTCAGGCCCGAGGCCACGGTGAGGAGCTGGATGGCGGCAGCACAGCAACCCATTTGATTGGTCCTGCAAAACCCAGGAGGAGGATGCCTGCTCTTGAGCACCCCCTACTGGCACCTTCTCTATTCACCATTTACCTGTATACGGCCACAGAATGCCCCTGTACTGTGGCAAAGAAAGCCACTGACAGGAGGGGAGGTAAGGGGGTGTGGGCTGAAGTGGCCTGCCCTCCACGTTACTCAAACTGAGCTCTCATCTAGCACCTCCCAGCAGTTGATCTCCAAGGAGGTCAGTGGCGTCAGCCACACTTCACAATTGGGGAAACTGAGGCACAGCAAGGGACCATCAAAGTTATGCAGCAGCAGAGCTGGGGCTCCCAAGTCCCAGTGTGGTGCTCTGTCTGCTAGGCCACGCTGCTTTCCACCTTCTCAGTAGGGATGTTACTCCAGCCTGCTTCCCTCGCAGGCTGGTGAGCTTGTGTGCGCCCGAGGGAGTTCAGACCCATGGCATAGTTTTACACCCAGTTTATATTCCCATTCCTCAGAGCACAGGGCCCGTCCTCTCTCTTCCACCAGTGTCAATCAGGAGTCACGCCACAGAAAGCAAGGGAGTGACATCAGTGCAAGTGAGAGGGGACGCAGCCTCCGAGGAATCCACGCCCTGCAGCAGCACCACAGTGTCTGCATGGATGCTGCTGTTCACACCCCTCGTGAGCACGAGTGTGAGGGCAATGCCATGGCCTGGTCTGGGAACACAATCGTGGGAGATGCATGAGCGAATCCATGTGCAAAGTGGCTGCTCTCATCCCAGGGGCCAGGCCCTGCAGCTGGTCCCAGAACGTGGTTTGATTGTGCTGGTTCCTGTCCAGGGCGCCCTGGAGCACTGCATCTTGGGACATGTAGTTCCTACGGGCCACGCCTCCAAATTACTGAGGCTGTCTACACCCAAGACGTGACAGCAGCACGCTGCCTACGCCAAGGGGAGGGCTTTTCCCGCTGCTGGAGGTAATTCACCTCCCACCAGACCCCTGGCAGCCTGGTTTGCTAGGCTTACGCAGAGCAGAGAAAATAATTCCCTCTGGTGCCGTTCCCCGGCCAGGGTTATGCAGCAGGTCGGATTGGATGGGCTGAGGGGGGTCAATACTGCAGATCAGTACGGACCCAGGTGGGCACAGCCCCTTCATGCCCCCCCATCTCACAGCTCCATAGTGCCGGGAGTGGATCCACAGCACATGCTGGGCAGGCTGAGGGGGGCTTTCTCTAAACGGAGATCACTCAGGTTGGCCTGAGAGGGTGGGGTGAGGGGGGAGACATGGGCCGTCCCTCCACTAAGCCCCTCCCTCCAGCCTGGCCACCAGAGGAGGTTGACAAAGGGCGAATGGGCTGCTTGCTTCTTACCTCCGGGTCCTCAGCCATTGAACAGGCCCTGTCGATGTCCCTTTCCGTGATCACCAAGGGGGCCCAGGTGCTGCAGTGCATCGTGTAGGTGGGGAAATCGCACGGCATCTCATCCTCGGCTCCCGGTTCGGTCGCCTCAGCGAAGGGGCACGAGAGCTCTTCCTCCCGCTGGCCACCTGACACCGGCTCGCCCTGGGGAGCCCCATCGGCCTCATCGCTGGAACCAGCGCGGTCCCCCTCGGCGGCGCTCCAAAAGGCAGGGCCGTCAGAGGGGCTGGGCCCTGCGGGACCCGGGCTCTCCTGGAAGAGCGGGTTGTTGTAGAAGAGGCACTGCTCTTCCTCCTCCTCCCCCTCGGACGACCAGTTCTCCTCCTCCTGCCTCCCTGGGCCGGCCTCTTGCCCGTCATCGCTGTCGCTGGCCGCGGTGGCTCTTTCGTCCAGCGGCTCCCAGGAGATGGGCAAGCCCTGTGCAGCCGGGGCGCGGCTCAGTGCGTCTTCAGGGCCCCGGGACCAGCTGCTTAGCTCAGCGACAGGCTCTTCTTGCTTCTCCAGCTCCCCTTGCAGGTCCAGCACGCACAGCTGAGCTTGGAGGATCCCGGACCAGAACAGTGCTTGGGCAGCGTCATTCTTCCCCTCGTCCTGAGCATTCGGGTTCTCCGCTGGAGGGGGTGGAGATTCCACTGCAGGGATCTCTGAACCAAGTGCGTTCCCCACGGCGCACAGCATCTCTCCACCCCCCAGGCCAGCAAATTCTTCCGGAGACGTCTCGCAGTCCCCAGCAGCGACTTCCAAGGAGCAGCTGCCAACACCGTGGCCCTCTGGGCCCGAGGGGGACTGGGCATACAAGGCACTGCCCGGGTCTGTGTAATTATCGGAGAACACAATCGCATCTTGAATCCTAAAGAGGCTTTCTCCAGGCCTACATCCTGGAACTTCTGCGGCATAAGGAGCCAGGAGGTCCATGGGCTCCGTGTGGCTGGAAGGGCCGTCTGGATCCATGTCACCGTCCACCAGGAACCACGCACCGGGGTTGCCAACGCACCTGACTTTGCTTTGAAAGGTCCAGTTAAGCCAAGGTGGGCTCTTCTCCCATCTTGTTTGCTAAGCAGTGAGCAGCCGGCTCTCTAGAGAGGCTCCCCATGGCACTCGGGTCTACCCTGGAGCAAAGGAGGGCAAGCAAACAAAACCACAAGTTAACGTTCAACGAAATGGGCTGGAAATGGGCATGTTAGACAACCCCAGGAAAGGACAATGCAAGCCGCTGGGGGCGAGAGACGCTGCAACCCGGCCCAGGAATTACGAGCGATACTGAAAGCAGGGAAATCCACCTGTAGGTCACAGGGTTTGTACGGTACATGGTGGTGACAATTTATTTATCACACCAGGCGCCCAGACACATGGGGGACGCAGCAAACAAACATGAGCAGAACAGAGCAGGGTTTTTTTCTGTTTGGTCAGCAGTGTCTGCCGACGTCAAGGGCTCCATGAGAAATTCATTTTTAAAGGAAGTGGTTCAATTCCTAGCTGTGCCACTGGCCTGGGTGACCTTGGATAGGTCACGGCCCCACCTCACACCTCAGTTTCCCCATCTGGACATTGATACTGAGTTCCTTTGGAAAAGAGGAAAAGAGCTAGGAATTGGCGGCACTCAGAGTGTAGGCTAGTGACTAGGGTACGCGCTTGGGAGACTTGTGTTCTAATCCCAGTTCTGCAACTAACTCTCTGAGTGACTATGGCCCTGCTCCATGCCTCAGTTTCCCCATCTGTAAAATGGGGATAATAGTGCTCAGACGAGGAGTGTTATCTGTCATGCTTCCGGCCCCCATAGTGTGCTCAACATTGTACCACACAGGGAGAAAGGACAGCCCCCCAGAGCGTAGACGCTACAAAGAAATGTGCAGTACACTTGGAGGGGGAATGCCTGGCGTCTGGGCTAAGGATGGAGATCACCCTGGTGCAGGACTGCACAAAGCCTAGATGCTACTTTGCAGGACTTCAGTCCTGCCAGTCTTGGTTTAAAAATTGTCCGTGATGGAGAATCCACCGAGACCCTGGGTAAATCGTTCCCATGGTTAATTACTCTCACCATTAAAAATTTACACCTTATTTCCAGTCTGTATTTGTCTAGCTTCAACTTCCAACCCTTGCATGATGTGAGACCTTCCTCTGCTAGACTGAAGAGCCCAGTATTAAATATTGTTCCCTGATAGACAGTGCTCAAGTCCCCTTAACTTTCTCTTTGTTAAGCTAAATAGATGGAGCTCCTTGAGTCTCTCACGCTCAGGCACGTTTTCTAATCCTTTAATCATTCTTGTGGCTCTTCTCTGACCCCTCACCAATTTATCAACATCCTTCCTGAATTGGGGACACCAGAACTGGACCCATGATCCCAGCAACGGTCGGTCGCACCAGGGCCAAATACAGAGGGAAAATAAGCGCTCTGCTCCTACCCGAGATTCCTGTACGCACCTGGGATCACATTTGCCCTTTTGGCCCCTGCGTCGCACCTGCAGGCCTGAGTCCCTGAGGTCCGCAGAATTCTCCCATCCCTGAAGCTGGCCCTATGCGCCAGCCCGCAGACACACAGATACCTCTGACCTAGCGTCCGTGGGCTCCATTTCTGCTCGCCCCGTATCACTAAGAGCTAGCTAGAGAGCAGCCCACAGAGGGGCCCGAGCTGCAGGGCCGCACACGCGGGCCCGCACGCACACACTCAGATGCTGGGAGAGCGACCACAATTGCAGAGCCCAAGCCGGAAGAGTGTTACACTCAGCCACAGCATTTCCGGTGCCTGCTTGATGCATGTGAAGTCCCAGCTAAGCAGAGACATATGGGACTGACACAGTCACGTAGAAAAGATCCCCATAACTGAATGCTCCAGCTTGCTAATCTATAGCATTAAAAACCACTACCCCAGAGGAATTCTGTTATTAGCACTTGTGTCCTGGTCATCTGTATTAGGGCAGCGTCCGGAGCCCCCTCGTGGAACATGGTCCCGGTGTACTGGGTGCTGTACAAACACAGATCGCTTGGAGCCCCCAGCCAAGATTGCAGCACTGCCAATGCTTAAGCCAGGCTTGTGATTTTCAGAGTGTCTCTAACCTGCTTGGTGAGTGCCACGAGCACTGGGCTACTGGCTCTTCTGGGGTCTCGCTCATTGCTGTGACCTGACCAGAAATTCCATCCTGGGTCTGAGAAGCTGCATGGCCAAAGTTTAATCAAAACAGTTATGTTCCTACGAAAAGGCTGGGTGCTGGCAAAGAACCCGTTCTCCCACAGGCTCGCTGCTCCGTAAAGCTCCAGCTCCTGGAGTCATGGGAGCACATCAGAATTGCAGCATTTGTGAAACTAACACGGGTTGGGCAGGCCTAGCTGTGCAGCCAATGAGACAGCTCAGCACAGGGAGAGAGTTGCCTCTGGATGCCAGCACTTCACTTGGGGTCGCTGCCCCCCACCCCGGGTCTGGAAGAGGAACGATACCATGGATTCAGCAAGGCTGAGAGTGGATAGATAGATAGATAGATAGATAGATAGATAGATAGAGTGGATGGGGATAGATAGATGATCAATCTCCCAGAAATGGTAAGTATGGGCTGGGGGGGCTGGATGGTTAGATAAGAGGCAGTATGGTCCAATAACTAGAGCACTGATTGGGGAGTCAGGACTCCTGGGATCCTTTCCTGGCTCTGTCACTGACTCCCTTTGTCACTTCGGTGCATTCCTTGCCCCTCTCTTTGCCTCAGTTTCCCCATCAGCACAATGAGGGCACTGAGTATGAAGGGGTGTGAGGCTGGGTGGAAAGCCAGAGTTCACGGTCACTGGAGGGAGCGAACCAACCCCCCCGAGCAGCCAGACCAAAAATGTGTCTGGCTTCCCTTCTCTGTGTCTGTCTGTCTGCTTCTGGGGGCTGTCTGTCCAGGTGCCCTCGAGCCCAATTTCCAAGGTGCTGACTCCTGCTAACGTCCATGGGAGTCATGAGTGCCCAGCCTTGCTTGTGCGTCCATGTCTGTCTGTGTGTCTGTCTGCGGAGGGGTGTGTGTGTGTGTAAGTGTCTGTGTCTCTGTTTGCATGGCTGTGTCTGTGTGTCTGCACAGGTGCTGGGAGCAGCTAGCCCAGGCAGCATGGCCATGGCGGCAGGGGCAACAGCAGGGGCTAGCCACCCGAGCCCAGACCCGGGGCAGGTGGCCTGGACCTTGAGTGGCTAACCCGAGCTGCCCCTTGCTATTGTTAGCTGGGCTAGAGTGTGGCTGGTTCCCCAGGCTGGGCAGCTCACTGCCAGCTGGACTGTGACAGCCCCAGCCAGCTGTGGGTCTGGGTATGTCTGGTGGGGGGGTGTCTGTCTGTGTGTGCGTCTGTCTGTCCCTCTCTCTGCCCCTGTGTGAGTCTTGTCCTGCCCCACACCCACCAGGGCAGGACCAGCGGAGGAACAGATGCCCCATTCATAGGCAGGGACACGGCTCCACCAGCCTCCTCCCATCCTTCCTGAGTCGTGTCACAGCCATAAGCGCCGGGGAGGGGGGCAAGCAGTGCTGGGGGGGCGGAAGCCCCCTGGATCCCCTTCCCCCCCACACACTCCCTGCTGAGGTCCCCACAACTCGCTCCAAGTTCCCCCCATGCTCCTGCCAGGACTTTCCCCTCCAAGCCAAGCGGCTCTGGCGCCTTCCCCAGCCAACTCCCACTGGCTCCCGGCCCAGCAGCTCCCGCCAGAGGCACCTACCAACCTACCAGGGGCTTCTCTCTGCGCTGGGGAGCGGGCCAGCCCCTGGGGCGGGGGGAGCCTGGGGAGTCCTGCCCATCCTTGCTGGCTCCGGGCAGCTGGGGGAAGTGCCGGCTCTCTCCTCCCCGCCCCCCCTCCTCCCCCCCCGCATTCGCTCTGCTGCTGTCACTTGCCTGCACACTTCCTGCCCACAGGGTTTAGAAACGGGGGGTGGGGGGGGAGGAGAGCGCTCCCCCCTCCCCCTCAGCCAGGCCCAGGCCCTCCTGGCCTTCCACTGCTGACTAAGCTAAGGGCATGCAAACAGCTGCACAGATGGGGGGGCATGACCCCGTCCCTGCCCCACCTCGCACAGCCAAGCCCGCAGCCCTGGGGCAGGCCATGGGGCTGGTTGGGGGGGAGTTCTGCGTTACCTCCCCCACGCTGCTGACACACTCTTCTCGGCAGCTTCCGGCACGTTGGTTGCAGCCCTGGAGCAGCGGGGCGCTGAGAGGTGCAGATGCAGGTGTGGGGGGGGGTGTCCCTCTCCCAGCACTGGCCCCCACCTCCCCAGGGGGGCGTCCCAAGGTGGGAGTGCGGCCTGCTGTTTGGCCAGCACTGGAAGTTCCAGCCTCATGGCTCAGACCCCCCCCCCACCCCCAGCGATCAGAAGATTCCCACCCCCCCCCCTCCAAAAAAATTGCAACAATTAAAAAAAAATCAAGCCATGGTTTGCGGCTGGGCTAAATCCCCTCCCCCCCCCCGCGCGCGCCCTGGCGTCACTTCTCACAAGGACCCAGTGGGCGAGAGGATTTGGGGCAGACTGGGGCGGAGCTGGGGGCCAGGCGCTGTACAAACACCCAGTGAGTGCAGTCCCTGCCCAGAGAGCGCCCAGCTGAGCGCCATGCCAGGGGGTGAGTTTGGCACCTGGGCAGCTCATCTAGGGGCCATGGGGAGGGGAATCATTAACCCCTGCTAAGCCTGGCTGCATTCAGCCAGTGACCTGTGGGTGAACAGCTCCAGCCCCCAGAACCGCCAATGCACCACGGCTGCTCACTGAGGCGAGGCTGGTTAAATTCCACCTGGGTGCGCCCCCAGGCAGGGTCTGCCCCCAGCTCTGGCTCCAGCACGCCCTGCAATGCTGCGCCCCACCCGGCTCTGAGAGGGACAACTCCTGGCAATCAAATAGCAACAGCCAAACTGCAGCAGGCAAGCAAACACTGAGCCGGGAGCCGAATTCCCCTCAAGCTGGTGCCGTGCAGCATAAAATCAGCCTTGCGATGGCGCTATTTTTACCGAGACCCTCCAAGGGCCCGGACTTACTCTCTGTTTGAACTCGAGCAGATCTGCTAGGAAAACATCCCAGCCTGGTTTGAAATGGTCAGTGATGGAGAATCTACTCTGATCCTTGAGAAAGTGCTCCCATGGTTAATTCCCCTCCCTGTTAAACATTTACGCCTTATT